CTCTCTCTCGGTCTGGATGGTGAACCCACCCCAGCTCTCGCCAATCGACTGGGGAAAGTGTCCTGCATTTAGGGATCTCATATACTCCCATTTTTGCTTAAGAATAGCGTTTATTTTCCCTTGTTGTTGGTTTCAGAAGGAATTTATCACCACCGGACATGATTTTTCTTGTTCTTGTTCGAGCGTTTCAATTTCGGAATTTATCACTACTGGACTGTTTTTTCTTTTTCCAGGGGTCTTAAGCAAATCGAAGTACATGGCCCCAGAAATGGTTTCCCGGCGACGGAAACCTCGATGTCTCCGCCTGCTCGCAGGGGGACTTGGGCTCCGGCAACGTAGTTCTGAAGCCTCGGGAGGGTGAGAAGCCTGAGGACAAGGCAGGGGAATGCAGACGTGGGTCTGTCGTGCGCCCCACGATTTTGGATGGTTCTAGGGGACACTTCCATTTCTATTATATCAAGAGATAGTTTTCCTGTTGCTTAGGTCTCCCAGTAGTGCCCCTTTACCCGTTTTTGGGGCTTTGGGTTCCCCTACTAAAATAGACTACAGAAAAGAGGGTACCCTTATTCTATCCTCACTACTGGAGGACCTAGTTGCTTACTCGCCCACAGCCGACCTTTTGACCTTGAAGTTTCCCCATGGTTGGTCCATGTTCAATCATGGTCTCCAAAAGGTTAACCTTCTATTTCTGGGCTCTTTGGGCAAGTGAGGTTGGTTTCCCTTCAAAACCAACCCCAAAAAAGTTAGCCTGAAACAAAAGCAGACCACATGGTGGTCTGGCTGGGTTTGATGCTTGTTTGCAGACCATGTACTCACCAAACCGCAAACGGTTTGCAAAGGAGCAACATGGAGGTTACGAATTCATGTGACAAGGAAACTCTGATTGAAGCAAACAAGTTTGCTCACTCCCTGAGCTTCTCTGGGGGGAATTTAATCTTTTTGGTAAGACCATCTCTTAGTGGTAAACACAGACTGGGGTAGACTTAGGATACATTTTACGTATTTTACCAGTGACTCAAAGTGAAGCAAACAATAACATATACATTCTAGAGCTGGGCCTAACTCTAGTCATCGCATGTCATCGCCAAGTTTGGATTTGTGTTTAGCCCATGCAGGAAGTGAGGATGGCCTACTTTGGTATCACAGAATTAACGATGTTCCACCACCATGGATGAATATTGGCTACCAAACCATGGTACCATGGTGGCTACAAGGTACCACGGAACTACCATGTTCCACCAAACTTTAGCGTTCTGGGTTTGGTGAAGTTTTCCTGATTTGATGGTTCATTTGGGGCTTCGGGATACTGGGAACGAGCTCGAAAATCTCACAAGGGGACTGACGAACGTTCTGAAGGCCTCTCAAAATGACCAAGTTATTTTAACCGTGACAATGTTGATTTCGAGCCCTTCCTAATTTCGTTAAGCAAATCCCGGGAACCCAAGGGATGGGTTGGGGGTCCACGTCGTATTAGCCCCCCTCTATATCTATATCTATATCTATATCTATATATATCTCTATATACATACATACATACATACATACATACATACATACATACATACACACATACATATATATATATATACATACCTCTCCGTAAGGGCTACTCCTGGGCGAAGCCAGGAGGTTCGGAGGGTACAGTGGGACAGTTGGCCTTCCATGTGTGATATATTCCGGGCTACCAGTGACTTAGTGTAAGATTGTGGAGGCTCGAGTGGGGATGGCTTTTCGTCTCGAAGGGCACGCCACAAACGGTGGCCCTTTGAACTCAGCCGAACCGACCACGCAGGGGGCAGGGGGCAGGGAGCTGATGCCCAGGTGACGCTTACCGTGCACGAGCCCGTCACGGCCACCTTTGCCCTGCGATACCTGGTGAACTTCGCAAAGGCCCGCCAAAATGTTTGGTTGTTCTTTTACAGAACAACCACAAAAAAAACAAGAAAAGCAAACGAAGAGGCCGGTCTGGGGTGGGACTGCTTCTTGTTTTTGTTTCCAGACCCTTTATCAACTAGGTCCCCCATCTAGGTGCCCGCTCTTTCACCCATTTGTTGGTTGGGAGGGTTCCCCTTCCTAAAATGGACTACAGAAAAAAGGGTGCCCTTGTTCTAAGCTCTTTTCTGGAGGACCTAGCTGAAGAAAGAAGGGGGCAAGAAGGGGAAGGAATGAAGGAATGAAGGAAGGAAGGAAAGATGGAAGGGACAGACCAAAGTCCGACATGAATGAAGAGAGCATGCATGCAACACAACAAGTTTGTTTTGTTTGCAGGGGTGACTTTGGAAGATACACTCCAAGTAGGTGTCCTAGTTTGGAACCCCAAATGAACAGGAAATCATGTATGAGCCCTTACTTACTAAGTTCCTGGACTTCAAATTGTTGGGAAGACCGTTCTAGTGGCAAACAACCCGTTTGGACTGTTGGACTTGTTTTGGCAAATCCACTGACAAAGCGAGAGGCGCAATCCAACCCGGGTTGAGGTTAGTGGGGCATAGACTCCTTGGCTCAAGGCAAAACAAAAGGACAGCACCAATTATTAGGCTCCCTTAAATCGAGAAACACCCATAACAATAGTGGTGCCCCAAACCCATTCTTGTTCAATCCCTTTTGTTTGCGGCTTCCACACTAAAACTGACATGGTTCCATTTTGCTACCAGTGGACCTGTGTCACAATAGGGGACTCTGTGGTTCCCCATACTAATCCCAAAATGGTCCTCAAAAGCTCGCGTCACTGGTTGCAGCTGAGAGGTTTTAATGGGACCCCCCAAGAAACTGGCTTCCTTTATGTTTCCCTTCAAAACCTTCCCTTCCGAACACATATCCCAAAGGGAATTCATTCAGGGAGCCGTTTCCATTTTGGTTGAGTCCCCTTGTGAGATGTTTTCCCCCCACTAGGGGACCCCCAAAACTGGTGAGTTTCCCGTGAGTTTCCCTTTAAAACCACTCCAAACGAGGCATCCTCAAAGAAGGACAGACTTATATTGGGTGTGGGTCAAAGCTCAACCACCAGGGTTTTAAGTTTAGTCCTCGGTTTCAGTCCTTGGTTTAGTCCATTTGTCAGGGCAACCCATTTTGAGGTTGCCCTATGTTTGACCCCAAGCCACCCATTTCTCCCGTCCCACGTCTCCAACGCCGCCAACGCCTCCGCTCGCGCGACGTCAGGCGGAGAAGCTCTGCGGGGCGGTGGAGCTGGGCCTCGGCCCGGATGCCCCGCTGCTGGTGAAGTACGACCTGGACCGCGTGCGCGCGGCCGTTTTTTTTGGGTTTCGGGGTCGGGTTTTGCACGGGCGTTCGTTGTGGAGAGTTGGGGTGGTTGTATTTGTTTTTTTGAGGAACTTAGTAGCTTTTTGAAGTAAGTAGGTTTATGAGTAAGTTTCGGGTTTCGCACGGGCTTTCGTCGTGGAGAGTTGGGGGGTTGGAGCTTTTTTTTCAGCAACTTGATAGGTTATAGAAGTATGTGGGGTATAGGTAGGTTGTAAGCGTAGTTATGACTAACTGGTGTAGCTGGGGCTAGTTTTCTTGTAATTAGCGTCCATTTCTGGAAGAGAGTTGTTTTTGTTTATCCTCCCCTGCTGGTGTTGACGGGAATGGGGTGGAGGGGGGGGTTAATGAATTTCCCGGAGGCTTTGGGGGTTGCATGTCAATCTCCTGGGGAGTGTGTGTGTGTGTGTTTGTTATGCTTTCTTTGGTTTGGTTTTGTTTGGTTTTGTGTGGTGTGGTTTGATTGTTTGTTTGTTTGTTTGTTTGTTTTTTTTGTGTGTGTGTGTGTGTGTTTGCTTGTGCTTGCTTTCTTGCTGGCTGGCTGGCTGGCTGGCTTGCTTGCTTGCTTGTTTGCTTGCTTGCTTTTTTTGCTTGCGTGCTTGCTTGCCTGCCTGCCTGCCTGCCTGCCTGCCTGCCTGCTTGCTTGCTTGCTTGCTTGCTTGCTTGCTTGTGTCTTGCTGAGTTGGTTTGTGTTGTTGTGTGTGTGCAGTGCTATTTTTCGTTTGATTTCTTGATTGATTGATTGATTGATTGATTGATTGATTGATTGATTGATTGATTGATTGTTTCTTGCTGTGTTGCTTGTTTGCTCGTTTCTTTGTTTGCTTGTTTGTTTTTTAGTGTGTTTGGTTGTTTGTTTCTTGCTTGCTTGGTTGGCTTGAAGTTGAGCTTATCTCAGCTTGCATGCAAGGCGTTTTGGCAACAGGGCACCAGCCACGTCAACACAAATTGTGTGGCCACTGTCCGAGGAGTCGGGGGACAACGGGAACATGAAGTTCTACTTGGCGCCGAAGATCGATGAGTGAGCGGTTCACTCGTAGGGGTCCGTCCCACCAACATGGAGCTGACAGGAGGTCTGAACATGGTCTTTCAGCGGGCATCCCCGGAGGTGCCTTTCTTGTAGCGTTGAGTGGGAGGGAGGGTAGTGCCACTGCAGGGGTTGCAGTGCATGTGTGTTCCCATCACACGCACATAATTATCTGTGCGTGTGTCTTTCAGTCTGACACAGAGCCGAAGACGAGGCAAAGCTCGAGTGCTGGCTGTGCTAGAGCTTGTTGCGACTTTGGATGAGGGTACTCGGTTTTGGTTGGTTCACAGTCACAGGGAACCAATAGTAAAACCATTCATTGTGGAGGTTACATGTTAAGTGACCGTCACAATCGGTGGCTTCTGTTGGTGCTTCAGCATCCATTGCTGTCGTTGCCGGTAGATGCAAAGCCCTCCCTTAGCTCAAACCACAAATTCAAGTCACCCAAAAAGGAGTTTTGTCTCATCAGAATTCCCACTGGTATCCCAGTTCCTGTCCACAGCAGGGCGACATCTTTCTCATTCTTCAAAACAACCTTGGCTTATCTTTGTTTTTTTTCTCGCATGAGTGGAGCTGCTGATCTTTACCAGCAAAGGGCAGTCCCAAAATTATTCACCTCCAAGAACCTCATGCCAAGCCCTCTTCGTGTCCTCTCTCAGGTTATTTTTTTGAATCAGCACCAAAGGGGCCCGCGCAACCGCGGCAGCGTCCGCAGGCGCAGAAGCTGCGTGACGAGGCAAAGGCGCAGCTTCGAGCACACGACGATGTGTTGTATTCAGAACACCATAGCATCATGCGGGTGTGTCTTTTTTTGAGGGTAGCCCTTTGTTCGCGGTTTTTAAAGGGAAGCCAAAAGGCAACCACCATCTTGGGGTCCCTGAAAAATACACACCCCTGCAATGTGTAGAGGTGATTGGACTATTGTTTAGGAGACATACGATACTCACTTGCCCAAGGCCAACCTTTTGACCTTTTGGTTTCCCCCATAGCCTTAAAAGGTTTACCTTTTATTTCAGGGTCCTTTGGGCAACTGCGGATGCGCAACCTGCCTTGGTTGGGCACTTGTTTTGAGGCCCTGGACCCATTGAATAAGTCCCATATGTGACCCAGCGAGGGCCTCGAATCTTGGTGATGCAAAATGTGGGGGTCAGAGAGATGGGCCGATGCTTCAAGAAGCTTCTGTAGCCCAAAGCGAATCGACCTTTTTAGTTTCCCCTATGGTCCATTAATCATGGCTCCATAAGTTGAGGGGCTACTGAGGAAATGGATGGTGACAAGCTCACACGTCTCTATCCTTTGTCATTGTTGATCATCCATTGTTCGGTTGCTCCCTATGCTACCCCAAGCAGTCCCGAAAAACTACACTTGCTCAGAGGGGTCACATCATAGGGCATGAGTCACAATGGGGCTTGCAGCCGCAGACCTTCCGGAGCCGACAGATGTCTCTCATCTTGTTGCTATTCCCTTAAGCAATGCACAATGCATGGATTTCTTATTCTCCCATCTGAAATTGGGCTGAATCCCACTTGTAAGTTGTGCCCAGTTGTATTCCTTCTGGATTGCCTCTTAAACCATCCCAATCGGCACCCCCAAAAACACACCCATATGCCTCAAAAGCCTTATGGACAGGGCAAGTGCCTTAGACTTGTCTGCAGGCGGAGCAAGCTGCGGTTGCTGCCGAGGAGAGCAGCTGGTTCGGTTGAAACATTAAAAAGGCAACCACATAGATCAATCTAGGTGTGGCTTTATTTCTTCCAACGGGAAACCATGAAGAAAACCACCATTTTGGGGGTCCAAGCATAAACAAGGCCCACCCATTTTCAACTCTCGCTGTTGCGGTGCCTGATTGTTGGTCGTAAACACACACCACCCAAACTATTCTGCTATCAGTTCGTAGGTTGGCAGAAAAGTTGCTAAGCCAGAAGTGTTCAAGTTGGGCAATGGCGGTGTGGAGCACATTCACATTTGCCCCGACGGCCGGCAGCCTTTCAACTGAGAGTATGTCAAAGGAAGAAAACAAGACTAGCAAAGTCTGTGCCACGGCGTTTTTGATAAGCGTTTGGGGATTTGAACCCCTCTTAAGAATAGAATGTACGTGGAAAACCACCCCTAACCTTCAAGTCACCAATGCAAACCACCGAGTTAGACGCACGCCAGAAATTCATGGGACCTCAAGGATGCGTTTCAACGCCCTCGCTGAAGACAAATTGCTGGATCAAACCTTGAAGACAGCACTACTCAGCCCCATCTCGAGCTTCATCCAACGGGGGGAACTTGGACTTGTGGAGGTGGCTTTTGTGGAGGCGGTTGGTGTATTTGGAGTTGATCAAAAGGTCCTTTGAATGAACAACCCACTCAAAATATGACATGTCCCACGTGGGAACAGCTACCCACGGTCAACACTGGGGGCCGAATGGAATATTGATCAACCCCTATATGTTGTCCTCCTTTTGGTGTCCCTTTCCCCCAAAAAAAGACACACCCATATTTTTGGTCAACGTCAAAGCACTTTGTGTATCTGAGGCCAGCGTGGGCCTTGGGAGTTCCCACAGTTCGGCAGGTTTCAAGAAACCGCGCAGAGGAGGTCGCCATGGCCGGAGTGCTAAACCACTTTTGCTGACCTGTTGATCTGGCAACCATGGTATTAAAGGTCCGAACATGGTTTGGTGAAGCACGGGTTCGTGTTGCGGGCTTCAAAACACATGTCTTCATCCTTTTTTGGCGGGGGACCACCTCCCCCAAGCAAAGGGTATTCTGTTTCTGGCGAGCCAAAACTTGAGCAGTTCAGGTCCATGGACAGAGGCCCAGGGCATCGCTTGTAGGCGCAACGGAAGATTGAGCAGTTGGAGGCGGAGCAGAAGGAATTTGCAGCGCAACAGGCGCCCTGAGAGAGAGAGAGAGAGAGAGAGACAGAACAGCTCGTGGCCGCATAAGATATAAGATTTCCAAAAGGGCAGGATCAGCAAGTTGTGCATTCAAACACGCTTGGTACTTGCTCGTTTGCTCGTTTCCTGGTTTGCTTGTTTGCTTGTTGCTTGCTGGCTTGCTCGTTTGTTTGATTGTTTGTTTGTTTGCTTGTTTTTTGTTGGTTGGTTAGTTGGTTGGCTGGCTGGCTGGTTGGCTGGTTGGCTGGCTGGCTGGCTGGCTGGCTGGCTGGTTGGCTGGTTGGCTGGCTGGCTGGCTGGCTGGTTGGTTGATTGGTTGGTTGGTTGGTTGGTTGGTTGGTTGCTCGGCTTGTTTGTTTCTTCATCTTCCGTTGCTTGCAACTCATCCAACGTTGACTCCGCTCGACTTCAGCATCGAACATAGCCGACATAGCCCGACGCAACCAACCGCGACGGTCACGGCTGGCTCGTCTTTTTGTTGAGGGTTCCGTTTTTGGGGTCGGGTTAGAGGCAGACCAAAAGGAGTCAAAGGAGACCATCCAATTTTGGGGTTCCCCATGAGACAAACCCCGATGGGTGAAGTGTCCTTTCGCCTTCTGTCCGACGCTAAGGCATGTGGCGCATTGAAAACAAGCTGTAAACCATAGCAACATTGTGGCTACTCCGCTACGGTTCAGCATGGAACTCAACAAATCCACCCCTTCTAGGACCGGAGCCGCTTTCTTTTTGGGGACCACCCCCTTTCAGTCTCCTTCCATCCGTTTGTAGGGGAGTATATGTTGCAGACCAAGCTTGGGTTTCAAGTGTTGCAGCCCCAAAGATCATTTGCTAACAGCATTTTTCCACATTGGACTCACGGAAGTCTTGCCTTAGACCCGAACCCGAGCCTCGCTGGAAGTGAACTGGGCCCATGGCAAGATCGTTTCTGTTTCCAGGAGTCCTCAGACTGGCCGGGTCATCAGATGAACTGTCGGACTTTGATTCCATTTGCCAATGTCAGGCTTGGGTAGTGTTCTCGTTTTGGAAAGGATGAACCTTGCCAGGTTCATGGCCACTAGAGCGGGTTCATCCTTCACGAGTACCATGTTTGCAGAACACCATCCCTGACTAGTACTATAGGTTTCTAGGCGCAGCCATTTTGGTAAGGCCTGTTGAGAAACAGCCGCACTCCCTCGTGTGTGTGTGTGTGTGTGTCGAGTGGCATCGCTGCGTCCATCCGGACGACCAACCGGCTAGAATCGTTCAATAGTTGCAAGGGTGGATCCTATGCTTCTTACCACGGATGTTTGACAACTTGACCACGTAGCCACCATATGTGTGGATATCGCTGCATTTGTATATTACTGCTACGCTGCATGTGTATATTAAATCGTTATGCATCAATTTCTTTCCGTGCTTTGTTGGTTTATTCGTTGTTTAAGAGTCTTGTTTCTGACTGGTTGATATTGCTTTACTCTCCTCCCCAGTACAAATATGGGCTGCCCAAGAAAGGCGGGGTTCGCTTCGCCGGTTCCCAGCGGGTGCGGAGGCCGCGGAGAGGGCCGGGCTGGAGGCGAAAGCGCGGTGGGCGCAGGAGGCGCGAGCGGAGCGCCTCGAGGCTTCGAGTCCGTTGGCATAGAGCCCTGGACGCGATGGGAATAAACAAATCTAGCACCGCATGGGAGAAAAAAAACAAATCTAGGGGCATGGGAGAGAAAAAAGCAAAACTCTAGGAGTTTTTTTTTGTTTTTACCTTGGGGACTCCATTCCAGGGTTTCACGGTGCGAGATTTTGATTTTCACTAGCCGCGGTGCTGGATTTTCACAGTAGCCATGGTCAAAGGATCGGTTCCCTGGGGTCAAGACACAAGTTGCATCCTGGTCAGGATCCTAAAGAACCTTTCTAAGGAGTCTCATGGGAACCATAGGCCAAAGCACCGGCGTTTGACAGCTAACAGCTGGACTTGAGGCCTTAAACCCAACACATATGGCGCGTCCCCTGCAGAAGGGTCCCCGCAAAATGGTGATTGTCGTTTTTTGTGTTTTTTTTTTTAAGAAAACAAAAAACATGAGAGTGCCTTCAAAGAAAGAGATCCCTACACATACGATAGTCAGAAGGAATGTTCCTGTGTGTGTACAGGAAAAGGTAAGCCTACCGTGGGGTTGCCAACAAATGGAACCTCTGGTGAATTTCCCAATTCCGAACCCCAAAATATTGGGTCATCAGTTTGACTGTTTTGGGGTGCATTAAAGTCAGAACTCTGGGCTGTCTCCCTTTAACGTCCCATTCAATGGGTGACTTCTATTCAAATGGTAATGTTGGACCGTCTTCTGAAATTGGGGGCTCGCTATTATATTATAGAGTGCTGTTTTTCCTCATTCAGAATCCAGTAACTTTTTTAGGGTTCGCTATTATGAGCGCGGTCCCCAAAGAACGTCCGGGCAATAAAGCAAAACGCACCAATTGCTAGATCACTTTTACTTTTGAAGGATGGCTTGTCTAAGCCCTTCCCATTTCAGAGGCTAAAGGTCTTAGATCCAGGAATTATTGTTTTTGCAAGTGGCCCCCAAACCATAACATGAACCACTTACAAAAATGCAATGCCAAACAGCTACACACAGGGGGTTGCCCACAAGAGCCCCTGATCCGCTTTTATGCTACTGTTTCCGGGTCCGCTTTAATGGCAAGCTTTTTGTTGTGTGTGTGCGTGTTTGGGGGTGGGGGGGGGGGGGGTGGGAGGGTGTTTATCGAAACTTTCGCCTTTACTTTTAAAGGGCGGTCGATTTCAGATTTGGGAATCTGAGATGAAGTCTTAGCAATACTAATTGTAAACGCTTCGCGTTGCCCGCTTCGAAATCGACTCTACGTGTCCATGGCCTGGGGAGGAGGGTGTAATATTAACTCAGTTGTTCAAAGCCAACCTTTTGACCTTTTCGTTTTTGCAATTTTGGTCCATGTTTAGTCATGGCCACAAAAGGTTAGCCTTTTAGTTCCAGGTCCTTTGGGCAACTGAGTCAAAGAAGACCCAACATTCAACTCATGGGAACAGAACCCCATGCCAGGAGTGCCAGCAGCAGGCCCGCGAGGCGGCGGAGCTGCGCATGTCCTTGGCTCAGGACGAATGGGACGCGTGGTTGGACTCCAAAGGAGAACGATTGTATGGACTTGGCGGCTCCCAGCCAGAATCTGATTCCTTGGCATTAAAGCCTTGTGTTTAGTGGTGGTTTCCATTTAACCCACTAAAACTTAAACTTTTAGGGGAATCTGAGGGCAGCCCAGTGGATACTGTTCCAAGCAATGGAGGGGGAGGGCCTAAATAAGGCCTTATTGAGTGCTTAATTGGGCTCCCTTCTCCCCCAGCCCCCATGAAATCCAAGACGCCAACTGAGGGTTACCCGATCCTGAGCTGTCCCATGGAACACACCGGATCTTCCTGAAGAAGCTACCAAGGCTGTCGTAGACATCAATGCCTCCCTCCCTCCCTCCTCCTCCCTCCCCTCCCTGCCTCCCTCCCCTCCCTCCCCTCCCTCCCCTCCCTCCCCTCCCTCCCCTCCCTCCCCTCCCTCCCTCCCTCCCTCCCTCCCTCCCTCCCTCCCTCCCTCCCTCCTCCCTCCTCCCTCCCTCCCTCCCTCCCTCCCCCTCCCTCCTCCCTCCCTCCTCCCTCCCTCCCTCCCTCCCTCCCTCCCTCCCTCCCCCTCCCTCCCTCCCTCGGTTCTGGTAGAGGGATGGGAACCAGAGGGCCTCATGGAGACTACAAAATGCGGGGCTTGAGGTGCCCATGTTTCTATTTGTTTAAGAAGATTTGTTGGTTTTCCCGAATTTTCCCTGTTTGGTTTTAAAGGGAGTCGATTTCACTACAGGAAAAATGTTTTGCCTCCAGTGGGCTTAAGCAAATGGAAGCATTCCCGAAGGAGCGTGCCAGCTGCCGGGCGGTGCAATCGGAGCAGCAGACGCAGCAGCGGCAGCTGGAGGAGTGTCCGAGGGGCCGAGGGGCCGATGCCGAGAGCTGAACGTGGGTGAGAAATCGCCATGGATTGCTTCACACGACACTGGTTGTCCTTTTGCCTTTCCTTCAACCCCCCCCCCCCCAGTTGGTGGTCGTCCCTTTAGTTTCCCTTGGAAAAGCACAAGACTTGCTGGTGCTCAACAGGGAATGAGGGAACGACACCTATAAACAATCGCTTTTGGTTTCCTTTCAGAGGATCTCTAGGTTCATTTCAACGCCCCTGTTGATTCCATACTGAGAAGCAGCAAGAAAAACCAACTCCTTGAGCTCCTAGACGTTAAGCACTGTTCTTGGTATGACCATTTTAGTGGTAAGCAAAAGGTTTGGACAGTTTCTGGACAACCCACTCAGGAAGTGAACTTTTCTTGCATTAGAATTTAAATGGAAGCTCAGGCCCAAATATGGCTGTGGCTCAAAATATGATACCCAAAATGGCACCATGGGACATGGAACAAAGACTTAAATCTGCGTGCCCCCAGCTGTTCAATTTTGAGCCACACCCCATATGTGTTCATGTTCATCAAGATCCAAACATAAACTAAATCGATTTCAATAAATCGACCTGTGGGTCACTGAAATCATTCAGCCCCCGAAATATACTTCTGGCATGAGCACTTTGAACATGAGTGGAGTGAGGACTATCCTCCCAAATGGGTGATGGACATGAATCCCGAGCCAAATGATCAGCAAAGGGTCTCCAAATAAATCCATCATATCTTACCGGTAGACGAAATATGAAGCAACATCTCACATGTTTTCTGTACCCCAAAGATCGGCCAAGGTGACAAGAACGTGAGGACGCCCCGCTTGCCCCTCCCTGAAAGACCTGCTTTGGGAAAGCCTCTAGGTCGCTTTTCGATTGGTTGCTTGGACGTTCAACCGACTTGGTTGTAACCATGCTGAAACCTGGTGTACCTGGGCTAGGTCCCCTTATAGCCATGAAAAGGAACCTGCTTACCTGTCGTTGGTTGAACACCCAAGGTGCCGAAATCCTAGACTTCCAAAGATGGTTGTTGGGTTTGGGGCTGCTTCAGCTTTTTCTTTGCAGGGTCAAACTGGCAAACCAACCTAAAACGGAAACCAAACCAATGTCAAGGCAACCCAGCCCGAAACCGGGATGAGCGTCACACAAAAACAGAAAACAATGCTCTGAGTGGTGGGTGTTGTTGGCGATTTACAAAAGCGTTATTAGTCCAAACATATCAAGCACACAACTACAAACAAACAACAAAGTCCTGAGGCAAATGTTTTGCGTACCCAATACCTTCTGTTCGCGGCATTGTTCTGTTTGTTTTTATTTATGTTCGGCGGTGTTTCAATTTTAGCAATTCTCTTGGCCTATGCAAGAGCTCTGTCCAGGCATCGGATGCTGAAAAGAAAGTGCTGCCACGTTCCGCATAGTCGCAGACACATGCTGAAACATCTAGACATGTCCCAAATATAGTACATATGCGTGAAGCAGTCTGCGATAAACGCAAATATAGTGCTGTCAATCCTTTCAAACGCTTCAGAACATCGGTCTCTTACTAACAAGAATGTTCATGGATCAAGTCAATTCAGTGGATCGAACAACCTACACCCACAAGGTGACCCCCCCCCCCCCCCGCAAAACGAATGCGACCTGAGAAAAAAACATCCCTTTTCTTTTGTGCACATTTTGGAGATTCCCACCCATTGACATGGAACCTGACGTTTCGGGGTTGGTTTGGACCATTCTCCTTAACGGGGCCCTTTGGTCGCGAACGTCGAAGGGTTCTGGCGGTAAAAACGGTGACCGGGGGGTTCTGGTTTGCACCGGTTTTTGCCTTTGAATGGGGACCGGGGTCCGAACGTCGAACAGTTCCGGCTGAAACTTGTGGGAGGGTAGCTCAGTCCTGTTTGCCCTACGAAGTTTCAGGAGCTGCAAGAGAAGCTGTCGAAGCTCCGCGCGGAGCGGCCGCAGGACTCGCCATGCGGATGCGCTGGGAAGTTTGGATCTGAGGAGTCCTGGCTGTTGTTTGGGGTTTGTCTCAACATAGGGGAATTCTACCCAAAAAGGGCATGCTCAAATAAAGAGGCGGATCTTCTGGGCACCGTTTCAAAACCCTGAAACCCAAAAACAGGGTTCCATTGTCTTCTGCAAGAGTCACCAGACAACTGACGCCGGATGAAAGACCTCAAGACGTATCCCCCACCCCTGCTTGGAAACTTCGAGGAACCAGCCCCAATACCACCAAGCTCAGGAGCGGCTCGTGGGGAATAAGCCCTTTTTTTGCGGAAGCCATGGTGCTGGTTCAGTTCCTTAGAGAAACCCAACGAGGAGTTTCAGACTATAATAGGCGTTCCGCTGTTTGAGAGACAGTGGGTGGGTGCAGGGTCCAAGCTTTAATCAAAATATGCTTGCGGTTCAAGAAGCATTTGTAAAAAAAAAAAAAAACAGACAAAACGGGGAGGTTGCCCCACCCTGCCTGGTGTACCAACCTTTGAGACACTCGGATCGCAGCCTCCCCGTCAAGAAGCCATCGGAGAGGCGCTGCTGGAGCTGGAGTTGCAGAAGCTCCGTGCTGAGGCCCTGCTGCGGTTTTCGGGTGCTTTGCCTCGGGTGCTGCTTTGGTGGTCACTAGAAATGTGGGTGTGGGTCAAAATCCAGATACCCGGTTTTGGGTAACCCCCCCGTTTTGTGGTTCATTTTGAAAGGGAATCTCGGGGGAAAGGGGGGTACCAGGGTTTTGACCCACAGCCATATGGGACTGACACCTATTGTTGAAACAACCTCCATGTTCGTTCCCCAAACTCACTTGCCCAAGGCCGACCTTCTGATTTTGCTGTTCTCTGTTTGGTCCATGTTTGGTCATGACCACAGAAGGTTGACCGTTTATTTCCAGGTCCTTTGGGCAAATGAGCCAAGGGGGCACGGCAATTGGCTGTTTCACATGATCAATAATATGTTGCAGCCACTCCTGCAGAAAAGGTTGTTCTCGGATGCCGGGAATGAGGTGGAAGGACCCTGAACTGAGTCATCCAACTTGTGATTCCTTGGGATCCTGATGCAAGGGTGACCATCCTTGTTCAACCCCTCACCATGTTTTTTGTCGACCTCCAACTTGGCTGTCTGAATGAGGGATACGCCCCCTCGCCCAAGGGGATCCCTTACTTGAAGACACACCCAGATGATCGGTAAGATGGGTAAGATCATTGCCAAGCTCAGCTTGCCTTTTTTAACTTTGTGCCTTTCCCTTTTCGTTCTTTCTTTCAACCAGCCGATAGGCCGACTTTTTGGGCGTCGGATTCGTCTGGCCCATGGCCCTACGCTAAGCGCCGTATCCGTGCTTGGGAAGGTCTCTGCTTGGCGGCCGCCCTCCGCACGCAGTAGGCCGGAGAACGCCAGGGGCGCTTGAGTCTTCAACCAACCGTTTTTACATGGAACCTGACGTTTCATTTTCCATAAAAATGGGACCTGGTCCCTGTCGGGTTCCGGCTAACCCCAAGGCTTGGGTTGCCTTGGAAAATGGAATTAAGTTGACTAAACCCTGCGGTCCAATTCCTGGCTTAATTTAGACCAGATTACCACGTTTGGGGAACGATCACATCAGTTACACCGGTTACCATGGTAAAGTAACCTACTTACCTGACGTTGGGAAGTGGGGTGTGGGTTTGAGGGTCAGCACCCTTTTCACCTTCATGACTCCATTTACCTATAGAGGGTAACTAAGGAAATCCATGGTAAGACCGAGCCCAGAGAGGTTGATAACAGGAAAGGGATCTGAAAGGTTGGGAAAGAGAGGTTGCAAAGCATAACTCTCAAGAGGGGTCACCATGCGCAGAGTCACGCACGGCATCTCGCGCAACGTCGTGCGTGGCGTGATCTACAACATGTGCAGCACCATGCGCAACATACATCACGCACTGCGTCGCGCTCAGCATCAATTCACAGCATCGCGCGCAAGATATTCAGTTGACAGGAGAGATTATGAAGCATGATGCTGAGCTTGCTCATCGCTTGAGCAAGGACGTTGACGTGTTTAGTTGGGCGATTTGTCAGGGTTTTTGAAATCTGTGTCTATGCTTCCGGGCCCCGCCCCGTAGATTTAAACCGAAGACTGCTTGGGGTATCTTTCTGGTTTTTTAGCAAGCTCGTCACTGTGGATTCCATGTCGAGCTGAATTCGCTGTTGCTCGTGGAAACTCCTCGAGCGGCGATTGCGTGATGAATTGCAAATCCACACTTCAGATGTCAGTTGCATCCAATCAATGTAGATGAGTCGCAAGAATTGTTGTGCGGCTGGGGTTCAGGCACGTTGACGCACCGCAGCGTTTTTTTCTCACAAGGACGAGTTCAAGACACGCGATAGAGGCCAACGGCTTCACTAGCGGTGTTGCTGCGTGTGCAGAAAAACTGCCTTGCGCTTTTTTGCGACAGTTTTGGTTCTTCAGACACCGCCTTGCAACAGATGGCCGCGTGGACGCGTCCGGCTGCGAAGGTCCGTATCCGTAAAAGGCCTGCAAAGAAGCTGGTGCCAAGCTAAAGAGGCTGCTTTTGAGTGACCTTGGCAAATTCTTCCCTGGAGTGGGTGAGGATGGGCCGTTCCACTAGCACATTCAAGCAGATGTGCTGGACGTCATGTGCCAAGCGCCGGGCTGGGAAGGGCTGGCGTGGTCAAGCCATGACGATGAAAGACATACCGGCACGGTGGCTGTGAGTAGCGTTCGACAGTGTTTGAATGGCCCACGGGAGAAGGGGCACTGCCATGGCTTTGGGCTTTGATGGCCCAAGTTCGTCCATAGTGCTCGGAAGCTATTTTCGGATGGTTGATCTTGCTTGCTTATAACTAGATATGAGCTACTTGGGGCACAACGAGAAGTTGGTGGATGCCCTCGCGGATCTTGGAGAAGATCAAGGTCAGCAAGGCGGCAGCGAAAGTGCGCGGCGCCAAGGCGAAGAAGGGTGAGAGGTTTGACGAGGGCTCGGAGTTTCAGGGAGATGCCGGCTTGGCATCCACGCGCAGCGTCAAGCATAGGCGCGCGAGGAGCTCTGAGTCCGAGAAGGAGCGCACGAGGAAGCCCGCCGCAGAGCGCCTTGTGTTGGATGGCCAGCGCTTGGGACTGTCTTGACAAGCCCGACGAGCTTGCCCTGGCCCACCTGGTCGCTTTGATGGACAGCCCGCCGAAGGTGCTGGTGCTAAAAAACAAGCCGTGTGCCTTGCAGTGACTGGCAGCAAAGTATGATTCAGGTCATTCTTGTTTTCTGGCATGAAGGCTCCTAGGGTTGAGAGGCGCCCGGAGGTGTACAAGCCCTTCCGGGCAGTGCCCCGCAAGAAGGTGTACAGCCAGGACGCACTGCGATACCCAATTCTGGTTGCGCTTGGCCCCTCGCGAACTGGGAAGACAGAGCGGGCCAAGAGCTTGTTTAAGCACCCGCTCGAGCTCAAAATCGGCACGCTGGAGCTCTTCCCGATGCGCACATTCAAAAGAACGGCGCATGATGGATTGGTTCTGGACGATGTCAGGGATCTCCAGTTTCTTGTCAAGCGTCGAGAAAGCCTTCAAGGCAAGTATGGCTGCCTTATCAAGTTCGGGTCACCGCTGACAGGACCTGCAATTCTTGGACAGCCAGGATTTGCTGGGAAGCCCAGGCAGCCGTGTGCTTGTGCAGTTTGGCACAAATTGAATGCGAAACATGTGTCTGGTTTTCGTGACTTTTGGAACCCACGCACGGCGACCGAAAAATTGCAACACAGGGTGTTCTTGTGCGTTGCGTCGGTCAGGCGGCGGACCTTGTGACTTCTTGAAGCAGGCTCTGAGGGCTGTCTGCAAGGCAGCAAGATGGACCCAGTTTCAAGCTCATGGCGTGAAGTTGCATTTTTCCGGGTGTAGCTGTTGCGGCCGCGTTGACGCTTGACAATTTTTGTCTCACTGGAGGCAGGGTGCGCCTCAGGGAGCGTAACGCTCGATTGCGTGCCAGGCCATGGCTCCCAAGAGGCGTGTGGCAGCGGCCCGATGAAACGATGTTTTTTGGAGGGCTCAGTTGTAGGTCCCTTTTTGATAGGCCAAAACAGTTCCTTCAAAGGGGGCTGCGTGAGCGTTGAGCGAGTGCGCGTGAGACATGCTCCTGTTGGGTGTGGCGCGCAGCTGCTTGGGCGACGAACGCGATGCTCCCCCCTTCCCCCTTGCCCCTGCAAGAGTGATCTGACGGAGATGGCCGGCGTGGCAGGCAAAGCACTTTGAGAGATTTTGTGTCTGCAAGAGGTCGCTTCTGGAGCTGGGTTCAGTGGCAGGCGCAGTACTTTGAGCGATTTGTGTCGCAAGTGATCGGCAAAAAGTTAGAGACGCTTCGTGTCGCCAGTGATCGGCAAAAATGTGTCGCAAGTGAATGGTGGACCTTTTGGGCGTGATGCAAAATATCTAACATGAAGCCCAACATTTTAGGGGTTACGTAAGTCCCAAGACACACCAACAGGCTCCGGCCTTATGGTTGGAGCAGATTCTCTTCTGAACAACCTAGTTCGGATATACCTGGCAAAATCATGAACCCCTTTTTGAGGGTTGCTCCCAGACTCTTGCTTCCCTTTACCGGCCAAGTTTCCACTCGCATTGTTAATTGCCCTGGAAAGGGCTGAGCACAATGCCTCAACTACGAGGGAGTTAATTCGATTTCCCGAGGGCCGGCAAGTCACTACCTAAACCTGACGCTATCCTGGCCCCGCTGGTGTCATCTGCAGGCCGGCGGGATCCCTTACGGAGGCACGGGGCAAATCGAAGTTCGCAACTGGAGGCCAACTCAGGTTCCGCATTTTGCTGCCCCTCTGGGATGCTCCTTCAAGATGGCAAATGGGTCTGTCTTTTTAGGGGGTACGCGTTGTGGGGGGGAAGAGAAAGAGCAAAACCGCCATTTTGGAGGGCTCCCCAATTTTTTGACATATTTAACGTGTTGCTAGGATTTCTGGCTGGGAGTTATTGCAACCTGAAAGATGTTGCTGGGGGTACCCCTAAATCAACAACATATCTAACATGGCAATTCCGTGGCACTGCGCCGGTACTCAGTTGCGAAAAGCGAATCGACCTTTTTTACCTATTGGGTTTTCCTAGTTTGGGTTTATTTTAGGGTCCCAAAGGTCAACCTTTTGCTTGCAGGTCCCTTGGGCAGAGTAAGCTCATGCATCGATCTTCTCGGGGCAAATAGCAACGAAGTTGGCTGGGTTTGGGGAGAAAAACCGGTAGAAACTTCAAGCTTCACTGTCAAAAGCGTCGGATCAAAGCACCCACTGCAACCCACAGGCACTTATTTGTGTTGCAGCCAAGCATCATGAATGCAGGTCATTGTCACGACGAGATCTGGCTCGGATTTGTTTCCAAAACTGACCCAAGGTCAAACGAGGAACGTAAAGATGATGTGCCATGTCGTTGACTTGGCTGCAGTGTTCCTTGCACGGCCAACGTATGAGGTTGTGCCATGTTTGAACCCTGGTTGCGGGTTCTCTCGAACCAGGCACATCAGCATTTTGTGCCTCGTGTTCCACCTGGTTGTGTTTTTTTTCTTGAACGACGAAGGTACAACATTTGTTGTGCAATGTGTTTAGTTTGGTTGCAGAATCCCTTGGTAGGCAGATTCTGGATGGGTTCGCCCGTGCAAGTAAACGCGTACTTTAAGATATACGGCTCACCACATGGCGGAACATCCGCATTTCTTCCACGGGCGCTTAGGATGCAAGCACAGGTGTATTCCAAGACTATGTGGGGCGATTTCCTATAGAAGCGGGGTTTTCAACTGGGTGCTGACAAGCCCATATGAGTTTTCAATTTTCCCAACAGGCAAACAACAGGGGATTGGCATTATTTTTCAGGCCCCCATCGGACCTAGTGAGTGAGCGGCGGAATTCTGGCAGGCGAGCGTCATATCCGAGACGCAAACAGAGGCGCGTTTCCATGGAAATGCCAGAAGGGTAACTAGGGATTCTGGCTGGTGCTAAAAGTAGAGTGGGGTGAAAGTAGATGGCACAAATTCGTAATTCGGATCTGACCATCCCCTTAGGGAACATGTTCATCTAGTCTCAACTGGGTGTATGCCCTTCAAAGATAACCTAAACCTCTTGGGAGGCTTGAAACGTGACATGGGACACGTGAGTTCAGCATGCAAGTTTTTGTTTGATTCTCAACGCTATGGTGGCTACAGTGCTACCACTTCCCACAACAAACAATACATGTTGGACCAGGGGGGGTGTTCGGGGAGCTTGTAACCCAGCAAAGGGTGTTGCGTAGCTGGTAGAACGTGCTGGCTGGCTGATTTCTAAGACAAATAGCATTTGACTCCTCCGACACCGAACATTCACCTAGTGCACTGCTATTCATGTTGCTTTGCTATGGCTGGAGCCAATAGAAACGTTTGAGCTTCAAAAACCTTGGGATTTGAACCAGGTCATGCCTACACATGTTGTTGCAGAGGGAAAGGTGGGTTCAATCACCGAGACGTCAGGCCATGGGCCAAAGGTGGGTTTCCCAGGCTGGTTCAAGCCGTGGAGTGAACTCAGCAGTTGGCCCACGTTTCACGACTCAGATGGCGAACCAGGCGTTGCCATTCCTTTGTGGAGATCCCGACCCAAATGGCGGGTTTCGATGGGTTCTATGGGGGGTGTTGAGGGGCTTTATACGAAAAACATCTAGGGGAATTATTATTATTATTATTATTATTATTATTATTATTATCATCATGGTGTTGATAAAATGTTGGTGTTGATTAGGTACACACGGGTTTAACACACATCACCATCTCAGGATATCAGGGACCAAGGATTCTAAGTTTCACCAGAGTGTCAGGGACCAGTTTTAGTTTCACAAAGATATCAGGGACCAGTTTCACTTTCACAAGGATATCAGGGACCCAGCAGCACGTGGGTATTTTTAGATAGATGTGCGAGGCGCAGGCCTCAACATGCATGGACACCTGTGCTTTAGAGCCACTTTCCCAGATCTTCTCAGGGAATCGAAGCGACCGTTCAAAGTGCCAAGTAGGCAAGCTCTCTTGGTGCAACTGGTCGTCCATTTCAGGCAGGTGATTTGGCTCGGCCTCGGCAAAGCCGTTGGCTGCTTCGAGCAGTTGGCCCGCCAGATGTGAAGCCCTCAGGGTGGAGAATGAAAACGGTTCCTTTCCTTCTCCCTTCAGAAGCCATTCGTGCCTTGTTTCTACCCTTGTCACAGTCGCAAACCTTTAAAAAAACGCTCTTAAAGGATTCACTGAATGGGTGAAAATAGGGGTTGTTTTGTTTTGTTAGCTACATATCCGGTTCATACTCTATCTCCCCCAGTAGTGCCCTTTTACCCTTTTTTGCGAGAGGGTTCCCCTACTAAAATAGACCACAGGAAAAACATCGGGTACCCTTATTCTAACCTCTCTACTGGAGGACCTAGTTGTTTTGTCTGCGGTTTCCTCCAGTTTTGGGTGTTCAGAACAGGATCCATCCGCGCAGGCCTCGCATGCGCCTAGGATCGCGCTGCATTTGGATCTCAAGGAGCGGATTTTTGCTGGTCTTCACCTGTGGGTCTCCTACACTCTCCCAGATCTTTTGTTTCGGCGTGTGTCTTGTTTTGAGGCTACCTCATTTGTTTTCCAGATGTTTTGTTCATATGGGTGTGGCTCAAAATTAAATTCGATCGGAGGGGTTTATATACGCAGGTTTTGGTCCATGTTTCCACTTAGGGTTCCAAAAGGGTACCGGTTTTTTGAGCCGCAGCCATTTCGGCGTGTTCCTTGTTTTGAGGGTACCTCTTTTTTTGGATCGAAACGCGGACAAACACAATTTTGTTGTGGGGGGTCCCCTAAAAAAGACACAAATTTACCTCTAATTATAGTCGTAGTCATGGGAAACCATCATGCCAAGCCAAATCTGAAGAAACCAATCTGTGTTTGATTGATGTTTGTTCACCCCAGATGTGGAAAAGGGGGACTACTCCCCTCATTAGTACAGTCCTCCCGATGACGACACAGAGAACTACACATGCCAGTCTTCGGCCGAGTGCAACTACACTTCTATTTGGGGGCTGTCTTCGGACGTGGCGGTTCGCATCCTTCAGTTATGAACCTCCAATGTAGATGATAGGGAGCAGGGGGCTATCTGTTTGACCCTGAATATGGCCTTGTTCAGCACCTCGAGCCGCAACCTGTCACCTGTTTATGGGTACATGGAGTCTCCATGACCCTTTAAAAATAGGTCCATGACCCCATTATTTAGGGTAATGACCCCATTTTTAAAGGGTTATGGAGACTCTAGGTACATGGTTTTTGTTGATTCATTTTCATCTTCTGGCGAGGCCTCGTCAACGGGCTTTGGCTTATGCCAAGCGCTCGCCCTTCGTTGGCTCGAGGCTTGGGCCACGACTCGATCCCCCGAGGCTTGGCTCGATGCCTGGCCTTCACCTCTCACTTGTCCAAAGCGAATCAACCGGCCTTTGAGCTCTGGCTCCCATCCGTGCCAACTCAAAATGTGCGGTGGCCCTGTTCTTCTTGGGGGCTGCTCGCCTGGATGCGTGTTTTTCTTCGCGCTTTCAGGTGTTTTCCCTCGAAGCCAAGCCCACAAACAAATCGCGGCTTTTCCTGGCAGGACAGATGCGGCGGTATCCCCCGGGCCGATCTGGGCTTTCAGGCCTCGCGGCGGTTGGGGGCTTGTGGGAGGTGTTTTTGTGTGTGTCTGTGTGTCTAGGGTGCCAGTGCCCAAAGAAACCAAACAGGAATGCCTGTTTTGTTAATATGCTAGGTCCCCCAGTAGTGCCTTTTGGGGGTAGGGTTCCCCTACTAAAATAGACTACAGAGAAAAAGAGTACCCTGATTCGAACCTCTCTACCGGAGGACCGAGGGAGGCAACCCAAAGCGATGGCAGACGAGATGCATGTGCCAGCTTTAGGCAGGGGTGTTAAACCTATGCCAGTCTGTTCCCAGTGGCCTTCGAAAACAACAATACAAGGTGCAGTTTGCTTGGATGATTGATCTTCAGCTTGATGGTTGGAAATCTGTACTTCCACGCTACCCCACCTTTTTGTTTGTTTGTTTGTTTTGCGCAGGGGCTCATAGCCACCAACTTGGATGTTTACCGAACTTAGTAAGTAGCTTACAACAACGGTCATAACCGGGGTAACTGGGTGATCGTTCCCTTATGTGCATGGCTTCAATCCTACTTACCTGACATTGGCTGAACACCGAAGAAGCAAGGGCTGGAATTCCTCCTCGTGGCATTCCTCTGGTGGGTCGATTGAGCGCGCAGGTTCTCGGCTCTGCGAGATCCGGAAATCTGTCCCCGGCCGGGCGCCAAAGCTTTGGTAACGGTTCCATCCAGTGTGGAAATGGGTCTTGTCCATCCACATCTGCATAATTTGTGGCGAGCTCATCTGGGGGTAAAACGAGCTCACTATGACAAAGGCCCTTTACTTGAATTGAGGATTCCTTATTTCAGGTTTTGGACATCTTGTAAAATTTGCAGATACTATACTCACTTGTCCAAAACCGCATCTTGTGACCTTGTGGTTTCCTATTTTGGTCCATAGTCACGGTTCCAAAAGGTGATCACCTTTGATTGTCCAGGTCCTTTGAGCAAGTCTTGCGAGTGTAAGGGAGTAAATGAATAGAGCGGGGTTGTGGGAGACTTTAAGACCAACGTTATGAGTAAGAGAGAAAGATGTTGGCACTTGTTCAGCCCTTATGTGTCCCTTTCGAAAGGTGATTGAACCTCAGTTTTCTTGTGGTGTCAAAACACACCGCTTGGGGTTCGGGAATTTACATAGACCTGTTGCATTTGGTTTCGATATCCGTGACAAGGCCCTAAGGAGTTTGGACCATGGCACTGCACTTCAAACGACAAGCTTCCATAAAGAGGTAGCTTTGGACAGCACGGAAGAGGTCTTTTAACGTCCGTGTCCTTTGGGGTGATGCGGAAATATGGGGAGCCCTGAAGCAAAAGGGACGAGCGGAGAAGGATAGGTGCAGGGAAAGTTATGCAGCCAGCCAAAAGCTACCAGAAGAAGTAACACGTGCCTTTTTGGGGCCCGTCAAAAAGAGCATAATTCCTAGAAAATGAGGCTTGTGACAACCCCTCAAAGGGAAATGGGGAAAGACCCCACTCTAAGGGTCGGCTTGTACTATTTGTCATCTTCTATAGAACGCTCGCATCACATGACCATGTTGTGTGTGGGGTACGATTCACCCAAATTTGGTCATTACAGGACAATGCCTCCGCAAGTCAGGAGAGACATTGGGAGCCCCTTTCCTCCCCCCATCGCGGCGAAGCATATCATGTGCGAAGCTCCTCCTGGCAAATTGGTTCTATATCAGTATTTGCTTTTTCAGGTACACTGTTCAGGTTGGTTTAAAGGACAAGAACAGGAAACAAACCATTTGCGATCCTTCTATTTTGAGATATACCCATTTAGATTTGCCGCTTTGGGAGGTTATCGACATCCTCTCGCGCGAGCAGAGATCACGCAGTTGCCCCAGAGTTCGTGATGCTTGCATAGTGGCAAGCTGTTCCGGGTTTTCAGAGGCAGTTGCTCAGTGGAATCTGCTTTTTTTGTTGTTGCGGGGCTTCCTTCAATCTGGGTTTGTCTTTTTTGAGGGTACCCTGTTTAGCTGTTAAGTGAATCCAGAAGGGGAGTCGGTGCTGAGCAAAAAAAAGGTACCGGCGGCAAAAACAAACAGAACCTCTGGCCCAACCAAAAATAAATCCACCATTTTGGGGTCCCCCTACAAGAAGACACACCCCAACTCAACCCACAAATCAAGGTTTGCTTTGTGGAATGGGAAGCCAGTGGACAAGTAGAAGCATTTTTCAGGCAGCTAAGCAGCTAAGCGTTCCTTGAGGCATAGGCCCATTCGGGGAACCTTGTAGCGCGCTCGCCAATTTGTGGGTAAGCCGAGCTGACGATGAATGTGCTTGACTAAGGAATTGTCACATATGCGCGTGGTGGTTTGGGGGGGGCTTCCGTGTAATTCTGTTTATGACGTGTGTGTGTGTGGCTGTGTTTGTGTCTGTGTCTGTGTCGGTGTGTGCTTGCGTGTTTGCGCACGTGTGTGTGTGGGGTTGGTGGAGGATGGGAGGGTTGGAGGAGGTGGGCGAGCTTCTTGGTGTTCGTGCTGGTAGGTGGGTGCACGCACTTTGTGTCACTTGCTCGTGTGCTTGTTGCTTCCGCTACTTTCCCAAAGGCCATTCTTGCATCTACTTAAGTCCCCTGGTAAAAAAGCACAGATTTTCAGTAGCGATGGATTCCGCTTGCAAAAAAAAAGGAACCTGAAGCAAATGGAGGCACTGCAAAGACAAAGTGCTCATAGGAACGGCGCAAATTATATCGCAGGTTTCGGGCCATGTCCCGCAATGGCCGTTTCTCTCCTTCCATGTGCGTTTCCATTGCTTTTTGTTTGTATTGTTCCTAGTTTCAGAGGGTATCTATCACGACTGGACAGATTTTTCCCATTTTTTCCAGGGGGCCTTCTCTCCAAACGGATGGCTTCGGACGTGCAAACTGAGGCCCGGAGTCCGAAGTTTGCGGCACGGCGCCAGGCGGCTTCGTGACGCGGATTCGGGGATCCCCTGAAGCAACCCGCAGATCGATTTCCCGGCCCTGGCGCTGGTTTTCGCCCACCATTTGACAGTACAAGGGGAGGAACAGTTGGTGCTGAACAACAATCAGGGGACTGATACTTTCCCAAGGGTGCGGTGGGACATGCAAATGTGTGTTAGTTCCCCCATTTTGGGACTCTGATTGATATTTTTAAAGGTTTCATATGAATCAGAATCTGACAATGATGGTTTGGATTGGGGCTTTGAAAGACCCCAAGGCCAAATTTGCTCGAGAAGGGATTTAGACAAGATTCAGGAGATGTGACAATCACAGTTTTTTTCTGGGGGTGTAAAAGGAGAAGTGAACATTTCCTTTGTTGTGCTCAGTAGGGGCTGACCCAGGGTTTTGGGAATGAACCTAGGGATTGCCTTGGGGGGTGATTTATTTCATGATTTCCTGCTGAGAACCAGGTGCGCCAGTCTCGGCGGGATCGGGGCGCGTCTCCTTCGAGGCAGGGCACGGCCGGCTGATGTGACACATCACAACGTAGTGTTTTGTTTGATTTGTTTGGGGGGGGGGGGGGCTGACCGAAACATCACAACATGTTTTAATTGTTTGTGTTTGATTTGGGGGGGGGCGGCTTCGATTTGTTTCTTTTCCCCTTTGTCTTTTGGGAGGAGGGGGCTCTGGCTTTTGGTGGCATGGTGGCTGAAGGACGCGTGGAAAAAGACCTTGGTTTGCAAATTGGAGAGGGCCTGCCTTTGTCAGCCCCAGCGGACTTTATTGACGTTCTTTGTAGCTTCTGAGTACTGGAGGGACATGGTCGTCGATGTCCATTATTGATACATGTTGAGTACGAAGTTGCTAGATTGGCAACAAATATGGAAATACACAATCGAGAATGAACAACACACCACAGCATCCTCCTCCGTTTTCATGTTTCGCATGGTGTTTCCTTTGAAAGACAAGTTTCTGTCTTGGAACATCGCACTAGCACGTGGCTGCCGGGAAAAACAAATCATTCAGGAGGCGCAATGGGCCTGCGGGGGGGTTGATGTGTGTGAAAGCCCGTTGTTTTTTTTTTAACTGGGGTTAAAGTTTTTTGGGAAACTCAGTGGATCCAGGCAAGCCCCTGTACGTAATCATTTCCCCATAGAGTCTATAGATGTAAATGGAATCAACGGGCAAGGCAAGGAGGAAGCTCGGATTTTTGTTCCAAGTTCCTGCCATGAATCAACTGCTGGTGACTAGGGTGCCCGAATCCAAGATGATCCTAATCACTTTGTGGGGCAAGACTGCCCACATAATCTGCCGAGTTGATTCATCCAGGGTCAGCATCATGTCGTCCAAGGCAGTTGAAACCACTTGTTGTCCTGTCACGATAATAATTATCGTTCACGATCTTTCTTTCCAGGAACATAATGGGAGTTCAGAAGGACTTTTGTCAAGTCACCCTTTCGTGGTTTGGGGATTTGATTCCCTGTTTCTTGTAGAGGGTAGATGGGAAACCACCCCTCAACCTTCAAATAGCAAGTCAGAAGCACCATTTTGAGGGAAGCTGATTTGGGAGTCAGTGCAGGGCTGAACATCCTATCCCGGGGATCCTGGCTGACCATTTCCCTACCGGCCGGAACCTGACAACGTGGGGTACCTTGAAATCATACCAAGTCATGATATGTGTGTGTTTTGAGGGATCTAAACGCAATTTTGTCCATTTCAAATTTTCCTCCCACTTGCTTAAGAATGCTTGTTATGTTCCCCTGTTGGTTTTACAGGGGATCTATCAGTGCCAGTTGCTTATTTGTTGAAACAACACATGTTTCTCATTTTTCGAGGGCTTTTCTCTGATGGCGGTATTTGTTGGGAGTTTTAGAGAAGACCGAAGGGAAAGCAGCCATGCCAACTGCTTTCGTAGGCTGATGGCCTGGAGAACTCGCCCTCGGCCCGGGGTCCCAGTTGCAACCAGCGGGTTGCTTTCCTGAGTTCGTAAAATGGGACTTGACATATGTTTCTACACCCGATCATACCCCAAAGTCACTTGAAATCTCGCTCGTGTTCCTGGACTTGAAAATCTGGGTGGGTCTGGACCCTTTGAGTGGTAAACAAAAAGCTAGCTTGCTTTTTTATGGCCGATCAACTCAGGAAGTGAGTTTGGGTGTTTAACCAACGTCAGTCAAGTAGGTTATAACCATAGTTGTAAGGGGACTCACCTCAGTTACATCACTTACAACCATGGTTAAAACCTGGGTTTCCCGCTTTTCCGGTTTAAAATCCATTGCCAGTCCAAACGCTTACCGTTCGAACGTTCTTCCTTGCCAGCAAACTGTTGGAAATTTCCAGGGGGTCTGAGTCTGGCCAAAAAAAGGTGCCCATGGTTGGCAAAGCCCTAAGCTTCTGAAGGGTTGCCTACTCGACTTTGGGCAGGAATGTCCGAAAGGTTTCAAGGCTGGTTTTTGCGGTTTGAGCCACCCTCTTTGGAAGGGTTCCCCCCGATCTTGTTTCGACTTCACGTCAGATCGCCCAAAATTGTCTTCACAAACCCGGAGGTTGTTTTGGTCAGAGATACCAAGTAGGGAAGACACCGGATGTCCAGCTTTGTGGTATCCTGATTTGTCCATGGACCATTTGGGGTTCGGGACATGGGGGGCGAGCTCTAAATTTGGCTACAAAAACCTTACAACGGAACTGTGGGGGAGGCTAAGTAATTTGGACCATGGCTATATTATCCCCGTTCCCCTTTCAAATCAACTACCAAAGAGGGAGCACCGCTTTTCCCATGGGCATTATGGAGAGGCACCTCAACCCCACCGCTCCGCTAAAAAGTTGGCAGACAAGTCTGCTTGCTTGAAGGGCATCATCATCCGGAACATGAGGCGGCCGGGCCAGAACATGTACATAACACATATATATATATATAAATAGATAGATAGATAGAAGCGCCCAGCAAAATCCCAGGCAGACCAGCATATTGTATGTAAAGGGCTGGACACTACATACCAACATGTGCAGTAGAACGTGCCGCAAGTCTTTAGGAACGATAGGGTTACAACAAAAACGATAGCTCGAGTGAACATGGTTTTGTGTATGGGACTACCCGTATGTAAGGGAAGGAGCAGCTGCCAAAGTGTACTGCCTGTTCTGCACTTGTACATGGCTGTGGGTCAAAAATTGGTACCCCAACTGGAACCCCGGTAAGTGGAAACATGGACCAAAGCCTGCGGTCCCCTCTGGTGGTTTAAATTTGACCCATACCCCTAGGACTTTCACGATGGAGCTGCCAAAGTGTAAATCCTCTACTACACTTGTACTGAAGAGTTGCGACGTGTACTGTGTATTCTTGTGAAAACCCTCAGGGACGATAGGGTTACAAAACACAAACCATAAGCGCTACCCTCTGTCCTTTTCCAGCACAAGAGGTTTCGCAAGTTGCTCGTATCATGTAACTAATCTTGCAGTGTGTGTGTGTGTGTTGTTACTGATATTGTAGCGAGCGTGTTGCACAGCAACGCTGAGTAGAAAGCCGGATTTGCCAAGGGTAACAATCTCAGCTTAGGATCCACGTGCCCGGACGTTTACGCAGTTTTTTTGTTTTTTGTTTCTAATGGATCGTAAAGTGTGCAGATACAGTTCCCTTGCCCCGTTGTGGTTTCAAGCCGACCAACCATTTCGGCACATGCTTTCAGTTTCCCTACTGCCAAAAGGAAGCTGGTTGAATACAGGTCCAAAAGCAAGATGTTCGCCCATCTTTGAGGGGCTAAAACTTTAAACAAGCTATCTACCGCAGTGACTCCATTTATCTCTATAGTAGATAACCGGAGGAAGCCATCGTGCAAAAGCTGAAGGTTCAAATGGTTGCCTGCACATCCACGAAGCCCAGTAAAGGGAACCACTCAAAGGTGTCCTTTGTCGGTTTGTTTGGTTAGACATAGATGGTACTGGTTTAGATGGTCTTGTGCATTTACCAGGGAAGCCCATCGATTTTGCCAAATCACCTATGGAAACACACTTCCGCTTTTCTCCCTGAAAGATTGCGGAGGATCTCCTTACGTGCTTTCTTCGAGGTCCAAGATTTGCACGGCGAGGCGCGAAGGGGGATGTCGGGGGCCGCGAACCTCGAACTGCCGGCAGTGGGCCTCTCTCCTTGCCATTTCTCTCTTCTTGGCTGGTTTGCGAGAGAGGTAAGATGAGTGACCAACTGAACATTCATTCCACTCACTCACCTGGCCTCTCTCGCAGAGTGAGTGAGTGGAAAACAACGGTCTTTGCGGCCGCTGCCTTCCCTGGCGGCCATAGAGCTTGGGATTTCGATTTCGCCGCAAACCGCTGGTTTCCATTCTGGTAGTAATCTTATGGGAACAGATAGGAGAAACGGATGGGGATGGGGATGGTCTTCACTTGCTCTTCTTCCTCTGCTAGAGATTACATGGAGAAGTCTCATTCACTCACATTACCCCTCTTGCATACCAGCCAAGAAGAGAGACATGGCTGGGAGATCGGCAATCTCTTTTTCTCTTTTTCTCTGTCCCAGTCTCTCTCCTTTCGTGGTTGCCAGAGATGTAGTCGATGGTAGAGAGGAGAGAGGTAGGAGAGAACCCATCTTCCTTGCCCTTCCTTCTCATACCTATCGCATTCACCATTTTTGTTGGAGATAGGGAAGGGAAGGTCGTAAAAAAAGCTCTCAACAGCTTCCTTGGCACCTCCGGAAAGAGATGAGCCGGGTGAACGACTCCCTGCCTAGCGTTTTCCCATGGCTGCGTTTGTTGAGTTTGTTTTGCGTCAAAGCTGGTTTGTTTTTGGTCAGGTTCTAGTGGACCCAATTTCCCTTATGGTAGGTGACCTGGGGGGGCCAAGATGTAAGATCAGAGGGAACACCTTGCTACCTGCGACACTGCAACCGGATCTTTTGATGGAGCCGGTCATGACGTCCGACATGTACAGTTGGGTGCCTATAGATGTATCTTAAATGGGTTTTCGCAGCTGTTATATATGTCCCTACTGCTCAGAAAGGATTTCAGAGTCGATCTGAATCCCTTCCCAGGTTCAATTGGAAAGGGATTGGCAAACTGGTTGGTTTTTGATCGGGGGTGTATTCAGACAACTTTTGGAGGACCACCCCCTATTCATAAGACGGCTTTCCAAGTCCGCTTCTTTGTGTCAAAGTCACCCGGTCGATTTCCGTTTTTGCCCAGCATCCAGAAACGGGGGGCTGACCTTTTCAGCCACGGTCGCCGGCTTTCAGTTTTGAGGTCCTAACGTGTGTATCTTGCTTCCAAGAGTTGCGAGCTCGACGTTTTTCTGGGGTGTTGAAGGAGTCACTGGTCCAGAAGACTCTTGCAACATCTTACATGATGTGACCATGCGCAAGGTGAACCCGTAAGGCAAAAAGGGCATCCTTGTCACTCTAAATATTGGCGGCCCCATGATGCGATCTTTGGAAGGACTTCCTGGTGGCAGTGACTGACACAGAGCCAACCTTCCCTGAGCTCTGCGGCAGTAAGGACTGGGCCAGCTTCAGTTGACTGGTCTGAGAGTCTAGACACAGGTGGCAGTCACTGTGGTGCTACAACCATGGGAGTCAATGCATGGCAAAAGGATAAGAAAGCAGGGGGGTGAAGAGGGAGGGATTCTACAGCCAAGAGTTCATTGGAACCAGGGGTTGCAGGGTTCTGGAGGTGTCTCTGTGTTTGGAGAATGCTATGTATCCAAGCTTGGTTGCTGTCGCAGTCTTTTGACTTAGAGCCACGGTAGCATTGCTCTATATTGCTCTCAAAGCTGCGCGGGGACATGGCCTGTCAAGACGTCCAAGTTGCATCAGTTTTTGCCCTGCTGATGATGACAACACGGCTGGACAACACATTGCCCTGCAAACTCAGAGCTTCAAGAAAGTGGCTTTAGCTTCCCCCATGAATTCAGCGCGCGTGGATGCTTGTTCACTTGGTTTCACCAAGTCTGACGCTGTTGCTCTGCCCATGAGGCCTTCTGTCCCCTTCTCCCGCCAGGCCATCCCACCTAAACCCCCACCAGGCCTGCTGGCCTGCTCCCGCCCGAACGGCCAAAGGTCCACCTACCAAGTAGCGCATTTGTTTCTAGCCAACAAAACCCAAAAAAGGGCCCTTGAAACGGATGGCGGGCTGAGCGTCGCGGGCGATGAGGGAAGCCGAGGCCAAAGCCCAAGACGTTAGACGGAAGCATCCTGAAAACAACACTTTGAATGGTGCCATTCTTATTTCACCTGAGCGGTGTCTCAGGCCTAGCTTACCGCCCCTCAGCGCCCAAGCCTTGCCTGAACCTGTTCAGTGTTGGTGGCCGTTTGGGCTGCCTTTGCACTCGCGGCTGCTCGCGCCGCACAGAACTTGGCAGCAAAATAATAGTAGTTGGCATGACGAAGGCAAGTTGAGAACAAGTCGGTTTTCCCAAGATGCCGCTCTTCTTGCGTGAGCTCTCTGCCTTTGCTTTTGCAGACATTCGATCAATGATACTTAGGGCCCAGGGGCTAGGCGATCCAGTTCCTGGCCTTCCTTTTCTTTGCATTTTGCCAAGGGATGTTAGGACTTTAACTTTTTTGCCAACTAAGCGGTTTTTCTTTAAACCACTAAAAGTTAAACTTTTAGCAGGGGAGCAGAAAGCAACCAAGCTTTCTGTGTTAATGATCCTGGGTCGAGTCTGGGGGGTCGCGGGGGTGTCTGCCAAACAACAAACAAGAATGCCGAAACCGTTGTCAAGGTCTTGAGGATTTGCTTCCCATGTCTGAAATTAGTTTCTGCTATAAACAAGACACTGTGACATAGGGACCCGTATACCGTATACCGTATAGTGCCCTTTCTGGATTTTCTATGCCAGGGCCTTGACTTGATCTCAACTATTGAGACCTTGCGCGCGCCCAGGAGAAGCCTGCTGGGCGGCTGCTGCGCCCGCCACTTCCGCGAAGCCGACGCCTGGCTCAAAGGGAAGGGCTGCGGAAATTGGAAGGATGGGTTTGGGACCCCTCGAAGGAAAAGGTCTCCCTTTGGTCCCCCCTTTTACAGCAATCCAAAACATATTTTTTTGAAAGTGGCACTTAGGTGAGGGGGTCTTCCCTGCTTTGGCATGGTCTTTGGCGGAGTTGCTTGGGTCCATTGGCAGGGGTATTCATTCCCTCTGCGTTTCTTTGTGCTGGCCAGAGGATTCAGTGCTTCAGGTGAGTCGAGCCTCGCAGGGCCTGCTTTCAGGTCGATGGAAGGCGTGCATGTTCACGCAGAGGGAAACCCACCAGTTTGCTTCTTCCACTGGGTTTGGCTGGGGTCCCACACGGGTGTGTCTTTTTTTGGGGCGACCCCTCAAAATGGCTTCGGTTTTCCTTTGGGTTTCCCTTTAAGACCAACCAAAAAGCGGTACCCTCATAACAAGACACCCCTACATGTCGCAAGGTGTAGGAGTGGTCCCGGGCATCCAATGCCATGTGAGGAAGCTCCAATTGAACCGAAAGCAAACATGTCAGCGGCGAGAAATTCAGGTACCGAGCCCGCTTCCATGCTGTTGACGAGCTCCAGCTCGGACCTCGGATTTGTTGCCAGGTTCGGGTAGCGCCCACTACCGCTACGACCGCAGCCTACTCACTAAGTTGGTTGAACACCCATGGGACAGTTTCGGTCAGAGCAGAGGAATCCCCTCTTTAAAGTGAGAAGGTAGTGATTGGGATGCCCCGCTCGCGTCTCACAGAAAGGGTTTTATTCCTAAAACATGTCGCACGAGCCCATGGCTTCAGTTCAGTGGCATCATGTGCGCGTGCTTGTGAGCATGGGCGACCCACCCCCAAAATGGAGGGTCCCAAAAAGACTACCTCAAGAAACACAGATCCAGTTGTTTGTTCATTCGTTTCGACGTTCACAAGTTTGATCCAAACCCTGCTTTTGACTTTCTGCTCCCCGAGAGCACGCAACAGCCGATGGTTTAAAGATCCTTCGCCCTTACGATCCCGTGAATTGCACGTGTCATTCTTGTCACGCGTTATCCAAATCGGCAGAGAGCCTGATCCACAATGCGCATGGCATTCACATCTTATGCTTGAATGTATTGCTCTGTAAATCAACAAGAACGTGTTCAATCAGAAACCATGGCTTCGCGAGTTCGGTAAAGCCTGGGAGGCGGAAACCATAGGCACACGCGCACACGCGCGCATCAGGTTCCTGTGCTGGTGTCCGTACCTCAGATGTTTATCCTTGGCCTGCGAGCCCCGAGCTTATTTTGTTGTTTGCGCTTTTTGGGATTGGTCACACAGCTAGTATGGGTGTGTATTCTTTTCTGGGCGACCCTCAAAATGATGTGTTTCCTTTTGGCTTCCCGTTAAAACGACAACGAGGTAGCCTCAACCAAGAAGACATCCATATGGACAAATTGATTAGTTTACACATGAGCTTATGATGGTGACTGACATTGGTTTTGCAGTACCCCACACCACCAGTGCAATTATTCAGACCCTTATGACTAGATTCATTACAAATTGGGATTGCATTGATTCCTTACTTCACGATGGTGAGCGAGAGTAAATAGTGAAGCTGGTTCTTCAGTGATTTTCAGTGGCTCGCAAAAGACGACAACTAAACCGTACCGGCCGACTGGTGAGTGCTAAACATTCAAGGTATGTCGATGTGTCGGACAGGCATTTGCCCTTGTTGGCTCTGAGGTCAGTGAATGTGAACTGTTTTAGTGCCCTGCCTGGAGGATTAAAGTGTTTTTTTGTTTTTTGTTTTTGTTTTTCTGGGGGCCCCCTTTGTAGTTGCTTGGAGGTTCCCTCTGCAGGTCCCAACTGTGTCCAAGTGTGACATGTCGGCCTTCCAGGCATCCTTCGAGGTGCGAGCAACCCCACCCTTGCTGCCGCGACCCAGAGGCGGGATTCGGGTGGCTGATTGGCGGACATGAGCCAATGAGGGTCCTTTTTACTTGTTTTCCCCTTCATGATTGTTTGGCAGAGAAACACCCGATCTTTCCGAAGTTATTCAGTTTTGCGGTTGAACCGGTCAGATCTCACGGGGAGTCCCCGCAGGAACTCGGAGATTCCGTTTGGGATCGCGGTTCCCGGCGAACGATAAAGCCCAACATCTCTCATTCAGGGTGGAACTTCTCCAGCGAGGGACGTTCCATCCCGACAGAAAATAGGTATGGGTTAATATCAGTCAAGATGTCCGGATCCCACGCTACCCAACGATCGATGTCCGGGGATATACGGCTTAACATTTGGAGAACTTGTCCAGAGCAAGAGGGATCATATTCCCAGAAGAGTGGTTATCACTGGATGAGTTCCATCCCGAAGACACGCGATGTTATCTCGCTGCTGAGACCCTACTTTGGGGTTTGTGCTGTTTTGCGGTACAACCCCCATTAGCTCCCCCATTGCTCTTCCGCATCCCCCTTTTTCGCTCCCGTAACCGTGTATCATTTACCTGCTCATTTAGTTGTTGAAGCTCAACATTAAGAAAGTAAAAGTCATTCTTGAGTACAATGAACTGTTCATCAGTAAAATATGTGTTTACAATATTTATTTTCAATAGATTTCAATCGAAAACACTTGCCTGTTAAGGCAGAACCATCCATATTTATTCAGACGATCCCTGTTGTTATCCTTTTACCCACACTTGCCCACTGGAAGTTATTCATTGATATGCAGTCCTATGGTAGCATGAGCCCTTGCTGGATCACGGCCCTACTTGTACTTCCGCGCCCGCGGCAAGTCGGGATGCAAGCGGCGAGCAGGAGACCTGTTTTGTAGAGAAAACACTTAGCGCTTGTTATACGTGGAATGATGCCGCAACTAGTGCGAGAATTCCGCTTCTTGATGCAGGGGAGGACCCATGCTAGTCTTGGCGACTTGTGGAGGGTCTGGATCCCATTGAGGATCAAGAGGAAAGACCAGATGACCAGGAGGCAAGAATTCCGTAGTCCAATGAAGCACAACCATCAGGTGCCGAGATTGCATCAGCTCTTTGATCAGAGTGTAGTTTCTGATCAGGTGGCCCCCGATGCTAAAGTCTCCTTCAGCGGAGTATGTTCCTTGGTATGAAAAGCATGCCGATGTCCTCACTGCCCACATTCGTCTTGGAATCCAGGCGTCAGGGCGGGGGCATGGCTTAGAACCTGCTTCCCCGACAGCCCAGACTTGTGGAAGACGTCTTCCACTGCTTGTCGATCCCTGGCTAAAGGGTCGGACGTTCCGTGTCAGCTTCCATTCAGGTGTGTAGAATCAGGACTCATGTGACATGTTACCAGCGCGTGAATGTGGATCACACACAATGGCATAGTATATTGGGGGGTTATCCTTCGACCATTTCTCAAGCCATTCGAGTGATGGCTGGTTGTTGGGGTGGCTCCTTACACCTCGTTTCCCTCCTAGGAGGCCACAAACAATTTTCATAGACGCGCATGAAAACACATAGCCGTGGTTGTCTTGCTTGCCAACAAATCCATTCTGCTGGCATTTTCCATGTCGCGTCATGTTTTTTTGCATGGGCACGGTGGCAGGGTAGAATTTGCGGTTTTCCTTTCGGCGGCGGTGACAGGGTCGAACAGGAGCCGGTCTAATGAGGTCATTTTGGATGAAGGTCCCTGTCTTAGGGCCTCCTCAAAATTATGTTCATTGCTTTTTTTGTGTGTTCTTGTAGTTCTTGTTGAAGGTTGCTCAGGTGGGTTTAAAGGAACCCAACCGGAAGTTCGCATTTCTTTGGGTTCCCCAGGAGTTGCGTTCTTGCGCACGCTTTTTCCTTTTCGGACCGTACCTGCAGGCTGGTCAGGCACGCTGCTGGAGCGCGAGGCAACCAAGGGTCGTCCAACGCGTTTTTTGTTAGTTTCCGGTGACCAGAGGGAGCCCTAGGGGTACCCCAGTTCCTCGAGAAACCAAATGGGGATGGGGAGATCTCCGTTTTTGCTTTTTCCGCATTTAGTGACCCCTCGGCAAGAATACTGCTGCCACGTTCAACTGTAAGCCAGGTGCCAGGGTCTCTTTGGGAGTTCCATCATGGAGGCTCCATGACCCAAGTACCCAACAGAAGGGTCACAACCCCAATTGGGCTTGGCTTCAGGTTGGGGTAGGCGGCTTGACACGCAAACCTCGCAAAGCGGAATCAAGCAACTTCGATGTGGATGTAACATGGTGGTGTTTGTTAGTTGTGTTTCTTTTTTTACCCTTAAAACCTACAAGACATGTACTCTCAAAAATGACAGGCCCATGTTGATGAAGGTTCCAACAATACGAAAAGCGTTGGTGAACGAGTATCACAGATTGGTTGCTGCACGTTCCGTCAGGTTCCGAATTGACCACTGAAAGGAAGAATGTTGGGGGACTCATTCACTGAGGAGAGTGAGAGTAGGGGGCTTTCAGAAGACCCCTTCTCACAGGGATCTAAGAACTGAAATGGCTATGCGTCAAAACCCCGTACCCCCAGTGAACATCCCAATCCCCACTAAAATAGACTAACATGGGTGGTGCTATCCCAAAATGGTACCATTGGTCTTGAACCATGGAGGCTGAGGTAGTCAAGGAGCCAGTCGTGCCAATGCTCTCTTGGAATGTGAGCATTGCCACCTGCGTTAAGCATGGTCATAAGACCATCGATTGGACAAGAACAACGCCTTGGTCTGGCTGAACCATATCAGCTTGTTGCAACCAAAAGGTCACATATGGTAGCGTCTTATACGTTATATTTGGGCATGTGTGGAACACACTTGCGTGCTGGACATTCACGCCATAGGCGTCATTTACTCATCGCCACCTTGGAGACGCATACTATAGTTTAATACTGGTTGTGACTGTTTATGTGAAATAACTTTTGGGGGTTGTTCGAAGGGAAAACCAAACGGAAACCATCCCCCATTTGGTGGGTTCTATTCTTCAGACACACCTATTCCCCTGCAAAAACATGCCGTTTTTATGCGATCTCTTTTCAGGGCTCCCCATGTTTGGGTTCCATGCTAATTTGTAGAGCACTTGGGGCATCCATCCTACCTTTCAATGTTCAACAGATGCGGTTGCCAGAATCTGCCGCTATCCCATATTAGCCACGTAATAAAGCCTTAGTAAGGGCTTATCCTTGGCTTATCCTGGGCTTGTCTACCCCCATTGTCCCCCGTAAAGGTCCAGTCTTGGAGTTATAAATCTTGCAAGCGCTCTGAGGAAAAAAATCCAGGTTGCATGATTCTACTACCATCATGACGTTGGTTGTAAAGTATCTTGTCTCTTGGCTGCGGTTTGCTTGGATCTTCAACCTTTACCCTCAGCTTCACCAACATGCAACCCACCGGGGTGTCCCTTTTAAAGGCAAATAGTGTTCCAGGACCCCGAAACGTCAGATTCCATAGTAGTGGATGGGTACTTGGATGTTAGGTTGCTTCACCATGGTTATAATTGGGGTGATCATCCCCGTACCATGGTAAAGTAGGCTACTTACGAAGTTGGCTGAACACCCAAGTAACTTACCCCTGGGATCTCTTGCCTTGTGGTCAAAACCAAGGTGCCATTTTGGAGAAGCATTTTGTTTGAGCACAGCTCGTTTTTGTTTTTGTTCAAGTGATCTTTACCTGCAGGTTCATTGCTTCTGGGATAGTGGGACATATCCATCTTTTAAAGGTTGTCTTTCCAACCAAATGGTCCATGTTCCGACTGTCAGGACTCCATCGCCAAGCTCACGGACTGCCCAGGCCGAGCCTTACGACATCCAATGGGCCGACTTGGGGCATTTTTAGGCGAAAACCCTGTGGGGGAGGGGCAAAATCCTTTGGATGTGTTATTTTTCTTCGGAATCGTGGGAGAACCTGTTTGAGGATGTGTAGGATGATTGCCGTTGAACACATATTTTTGAGTGG